ACCAGCAGCAGCATCTAGTGTGGTGAGGCTATGACCATAGACCTAACAGGAGTGTGTGGTGAAGCTATGGCCGTAGATTCTGCAAGGGAGTCTACAAGACTTCCATCCATCTGTCCTTTTCTTAATAAATCAGCAGTTAAACAATTTGGGATACCACAGAGAAAAAATTGAGTCGAAATTAATTAAAATTTTATAATTAAAATAAAATTAAAAGAAAGGGTTGGACTTGTTGCGAGCGCTGCTAAACAGATTTTGATTTAAAATTTATAATCTCAAAAGAGCACCAAAAATTCAACAAACTTTAATTTAAAATTTATAATTTCTTGGAATTAATTAATATTTGAGATAAGCAACTTTACTTTATTTGGGGTGAATTAACAGAAAAGATCCAAAAAAAAAAAAAAAAAGGATGAAAACAAAAAAACAATACAATTTATTTAATTAAAAAATATATAAAGTACAAATTAATAAAGAAAAAACAAATAAATATTTGGGCTCGTCCGGGATTTGAACCCGGGACCTCTCGCACCCTAAGCGAGAATCATACCCCTAGACCAACGAGCCAGTACACGAACTCGTCGCTTTAGCTTAATTCATTGTACATAAATTGTTTCTCTTCACGTTTTCTCTTCATTATTTGGGGTGAATTAACAGAAAAGATCCGTTTTTTTTTTAATTTTTCATCATTTCTTCATAGATCACTTCTGTCGTAGGCGTACATGCTACCTGCGAATTTTATTTGCCCTTTTCTTTTTCTATCTTTCTCTCATACTCTCTTCACCTCTTTCTTCTTTCTCTTTCTTTCTTTTTCTCTTAGGCACTCACATTAATTTTCCTCCCTTCCGTTACCTTTTCCTAACATTCTTTCTCCTTCGCGCCACAAACTGGCAATGGCGTATCTAATTTTCGATTGGAGAAAAGCAATCCTCGTCGCCAGCAATTTGATCATGTCAACATGAACAGTCAATTGGTCAATTTTTGTCTCCTATTGGAAATGACGAGCGATTTCTGCCCATTTCTTATTTGAATCCGATATATCAATCAGGACTACGCTGTTCACAAGAATTTATTATCAGAATCAAAGAATACGTGTCTCTAGGACATAATTCAAAGAATGGAAAACGACGTTCAATAAACACCTATGATTATATCGTCGATTTAACTCATGCCATAGCGAAACTACTTTCAAGTCAGGTAAAAATCTTGTTCTTGCTAAAAACTTGTAAAATACAGATATATAATGGAAACGCATATCCAAATGTAAAAGAACGAAAAATAAAATTGCAACGTTCAAAACATTAATTTAAAACAGGGTTCAATACAAGAGTTGAGCAATAAATATTTATTATACACTGTTACATTAGAACATCACGATTGCGTCTAGCATGAAACAGCCTGAGTGTTGACTTTAACGTTCACTTTTTTATTTAGACACGCTCTATCTCTGATATTGAGTAGTTTATCCCATAAATATAGCACACCTTAAAACTACATTTCTTCATATATATATATATATATATATATATATATGATAAGCAAATGTAAATGGATATAAATCCGACAGAATGAAGAAAAATATCTGGAAAAACAAAACAAAAATCCTTAAAATGCGATTATGATGTTTTAATATAAATGAAATGTCGACGTCTGACGTTTCGGTTTAAAAACCTTCTTCAGGACAATATTCATATTTAAGATATTTTTCTTCATATATATATATATATATATATTATACACTGTTAGATTAGAACATGTAAGCAACCACTACAAAATTGTACATTTTGTTTCGACGTTTAAATAAAACGTCTCTTCAGGGAGTGAGGGCGTCAGAGCGGGGTAGGGGACTGTTTTGGGGGGTCCCGTTGTTTTGTCTACCATTTTTTTCAACGCTGTTTTATGGGCATCTTTCATTTTTTTTTAATTAATAGAAGTACTAATTTCAGTAGCACTTATTAAATAGTAATTTTCCTCCTGAATAGTTCTTTTAAATCAATTAAACAATTAAAATTAAAATTAATATAGCTCGATAAAATTGAAAATTAATAAATTTTAAATTAATTAAAATTAATATATATCGATAAAATCATTTTTTATTCCGAGATCATCCACTGAGGAGAATCTTCGAATTTTTTATTTTTTTATTTTTTTACTAATATCATACTTATTATAAAACCCAGGTTGTGTGTGTGTGTGTGTATATGTTCGTTTATATATTGGATCGGATTTCCTACATTTTTCAGCCGATTTCAACAAAACTTCACAGGACTACGTAAAATTACCTTGCGGTGGTTCTGACAGCGCCAAAAATTGGAAAAACAATTGTTTTCGCACGAAATCAATTTGAAAACACGATTAAGAGCATCACTGTCACGAGAATGAAAGGGGGGACAACTCATATCGAGTTGTACTTATTATAAAAACCCAGGTTGTGTGTGTGTGTGTGTGTGTGTGTGTGTGTTCGTTTATATATGGGATCGGATTTCCTACATTTTTCAACCGATTTCAACAAAACTTTACATTTTTTTTTTGGCAGGTAGTGTTTCTTATTGTCTTGCACACTTTTTTTCTTTATTTTTACATTCAGAATGCATTAAAAATTCCATTTACAAGGCAATTGTTTATAATAAAATTCTATTCAATCGGTAGACTCATAACGATTGAAAACAACGTTTTGTTTGAGTTTGGGTTTGACCAATTCGTAAAAAAAAAAAACTAATTAAAACATGCGTGTCCGTCAACCTTAAACAATAATCTTTGTTAATTTTATTTTTCAGTCTTTATGATGGTCAATACTTGATCTATCTCTTACTGTTACATCCCTGCTAGTTAACACTAAATAGAAGTTCACGGATAATAATTAAAATAAAATTTCTAGTCCCTATTTTTTACATTTCTAGAAAAAATAAAACCGAGAAAATGATCATTTTAAAGAGTTTCAACACATGAAAAAATTCCCCGAAAACTGAAATATTGTTTTTAAAACAAATTTTTAAGACAATCTTATTTGTGTTGTGTTGGAATATTTATTTTACTTTTTTTTTTTAGCGGAGACACCTCAGCTATCTTCATAGAAATGTAAAAATTTGTGAATTAAACATTTCTTTCTAGTAAAATTTAATCATGAAAATATTTGTCGTTATTACAAAAAGAATAACATTTTATCAGATTTCTTAAAATAAAAAAAAACTATTAATTATAAAAGTATATAATAAATATGTATTGAAACTTTTATTGAAATTGGATAATTCCCTGATTTTTGTTAATTTAAAAAACGCGCTGCCCTTCCCCCAGGTTGGGAAACTTGACATGTAATAGAAAGTGGGGTCCCGTATCAGTTTCGTGGGTGTGGCCTGAGGCCCTAGCGCCGGCCCAGGAGGGCGTAGAGATGGGAGAAATATTTCACCGCGAGCAGTAAGTTTGCGGGAAGGGTCATCATTTAGTGTAATTAGCATAAATGACGTAACTTGCAAATTTGGTTGTGACATTTTTCTTCTCTAGCCAGTCGTGCTATTTTTACATAAATTAACTAAATTAAACCCTCGGATTTTCGAAAATGGATAGTCCCCTGAGTGTGTAACCCACCCCAATACAAAATTGTATTTAGTATAGGCGGGATTTATGTTTTATATTTAAAATAAATGACGATTGATTACATTTTATAAAAAAAGTATGAAAATAAACGCACCTAAAACTATAAAAAAAAATTATATATGTTCGACATGGGATGAGTAGATAAGAGAAAGTGGAAAAGGAAAGGTTATAATCTATTGTAGAAATTAATCGGGATCAACGTATTTCAACAGATATTTATTTTTATACCTACATGTGACCATCAATTCTTTTCTCTTGTTTAATAAGTTAGGGTTATTTAAATGTTTTAATTTTTCTACAAGGCATAAATTACATCTATGAGAAAGTCGATAAAATATAAGTCCCGCCTATTTTAAACAATAATTACTCTTCTAGTTTTTAAGTTTTAAATCTGTTATATATATATATATATATATATATATATATATATATATATATATATATATATGGAGAGAAGGAGAGAAATACAATTAATCCCCGTTTAATATAAGTATAAAATAAATACATTAAACCCCATTTATTTTAAATATAAAATATAAAATCAATTCTGGTTTAAATACAATATATATATATACTTTAAGACATTTTATGTTTATACATTCTTTTTATAGATACAAATATTTAAGTAAATGCTCTGTTTAAACAGTATTAAACAACATTTACCGGCCTGAATATATATAAAACAGTAATCTTCGTATAATATATGGAGTTCACCACCATTGCGTTAACCCGATATTTTATTAAAATATCAATTATGTAACAGACAATCTCTAATCAGAACCTGAAGATTGCGTTGTACATGAAACACTGAGTCGTACTATCGGTGAGGAATAATATATACATATACAGACAAACACACACACACGCATATGTGTGTGTGTGTGTGTGCGTGCGCGTGTGTCTGTGTGCGCGCGTGTTAAATTGAGATTGTCAAAACATTGACTCGAATGTTGTTACAATTGATAACAATTGATAACCCCTTTTCATTACAACTGGTAGACTCATTCGCTATTTGAACCTACAGCCGTTACAGTTCTTGTTCCACTGTCCAGGCTTGTCGATATTTTTCGTATCGGTTAATCTTGTTCGGTCAATTTATAGATTGTAATCACGCCATCCAGCCGACCTGTTTCGCTTAAGTAATGGGAGAAACTAGAATACTTTTTAAACCAAATAACTCTCGTCTGCCTTTTCAACTGAACTCGTGTTTACGACTAACAATACGTACCGAGTAATTTAGCTGGTCAATTTTTTAGTCATAGGCTTAGTGTTTTTTTTTTCTTTCTTAAAATTCTCAGACCTAATTAGAGTGCATTACATTCGAATTGCGTCATTCTCAAAATTAGTCCATTGTGGCGATTATTTCACACATCTCAGGTTTTTTTCCGTTTGTAGACAAGATAAGGCTT